GCTTCAAATGGGCATCGATTCATTTTAGTGGTAATTGACTACTTCACAAAGTGAGTAGAAGTAGCTTCATATGCTAATGTGACAAGAATGGTGGTTTGCAAGTTCATCAAGAAAAAGATCATATGTCAATATGGCCTTTCAGAAAGGATCATTCTGGATAATACTCTTAATTTGAATAATAAAATGATGACTGAGTCTATGCTCAGTTTAAAATCAAACACCATAAATCAGTACCTTATTGTCCAAAGATGAATGGGACAGTTAAAGTAGCTAATAAGAACATAAAAAAAATTGTTGAAAATATGACAGATTTGTATAAAGATTGGCATGAAAAGCTACCATTTGCATTACATGCTTATCGAACTTTGATTCGCATATCTACAGGAGCTACACTATTTTTATTGGTATATGGGATTAAGGCAGTATTGCCCATTGAGTTGAAATTCCTTCATTGTGCATTCTCATGAAAGTTGAGTTAGAAAAAGCTAAATGGATTCATGCTCGATATGAACAATTGAAACTTATTGAAGAAAAAAGATTAGCTGCACTTTGCCACAGCCAACTGTATCAAAAAAGAAAAGATGAGAGCTCATGATAAGAAAGTTCACCTATGACAATTTCAAGAGGGAGAATTAGTATTGAAGAAGATTCTTCCTAACCAGCAAGATCCTCGAGGAAAATGGACTCCTAATTGAGAAGGTCCATCTATGGTGAAAAAAAATTTTTTTGGTGGGGCACTAATCTTGGCAAGAATGGGTGGAGATGATTTGCCAAATCCAGTCAATGCCGATGCAGTAAAAAAGTATTATGCTTAAACTGAAAAGATATATGAGTTGAAAACCTAAAAGGGTGGCTTAGATAAAAATAAAAAGGGATAATGAATAGAGTAGGTCAATTCTTAATGCCAGAAGATCTCATTGGTTTTGGGCTAGCTTGGTCTACTGCATTTTTGAAAAGTCAAAGGCATCAATCAAAAGTCTTCAAAAAAGAATCCATGATGAATTAGTCATGATTATCTGAATATTTGTTATGTGATTACTTATTGTCCTTGTTATATATCCTTTTGAATAATGCATGAAACACTTATCCCTTTTACCGAAATAAAATACCTCTTTGTTTATCCTTCATTTTATCCCTCTCATTAAAAAGAAAAATGTGCAATGTGTTATTATTGTCATAAAATTCAAAAGATGATGAAAGAATAACAATGACCATAAAAGATACACACATTATTTTGAAGGAGATTTAAAATGATAAACAAAATAGTAAAGAACAAAGATCAATAAAAAGAATGGCCTATGAGTCATAAAAATGGTCAACATTGAACATGGGATATAAAGAGAAATCTTTTTTTATCTAAACTTAATCAACTGCTAGAATGCATGGGATTTAAGAGAAGAAGAAAAGAAACAAACCTTGAGAAATTTCAAGGATTAAAAGAAAATGACAAAAAAAAGAGAAAAAAAATGGTCTCTTCATTTGCATAATAAGTGCATTCGCATCATGATAATCATTCATTGCTTGGCATTGCAAAAACATGAAAATGTCATTCATGCATGCATATGACACAACAGATGTATGGGTTTAGGACAATCCAAGACCAACAAAAGAAAAAGACAAAAACAAGAAAGATGTGAACCCTTTGTTTAGAAAAATCTTTCAAATATCATTACCTCTCAGCCTTTTAACATTTAAAGTTCGTTGCCTTTGGTTAAAAGAGCATTTTGAATTTAAAATTTGTTGCCTCTGGTTAGAAAAGCCTTTTAACATTTAAAGTTACATAGCTTTTGGTCAGAAGAGCTTTTTAATTTTAAGAGCTTTTGATCAAAGAACTCTATCAAAATTAAACATTATTTGTAAGAACGAATGGCATAATCTATAAGTCCTTTCAGATTTTAACATTTAAAGTTTGTTGCCTTTGGTTATAGGAGCTTTTTGAATTTAAGGTTCGTTGCCTCTGGTGAAAAGGGACTTTTGAATTTAAAGTTCGTTGCCTTTGGTGAGAAGAGCTTTTTAAATTTAAAGTTCGTTGCCTCTAGTGAGAGGAACTTTTTGAATTTAAAGTTTGTTGCCTCTAATAAGATGAACCTTTTAATATTTAAAGTTCATTGCATTTAGTAAGAGGAACTTTTTAACATTTAAAGTTCGTTGCCTCTAATGAAAAGAGCCTTTTGAATTTAAAATTTCATAACCTCTATTTAAAGAAGCCTTTCAAATTTTTTTTCAAAAAAAAAATCTTTATGTTCAATGTTTCATTGTTTTTATGTGTTTACCTAAACAAAATTGGTGTTTTTTTGTTTTTGCTTTATTTCTTATTCTCAAAAATAAACAAAGAAAGGCAACTGTAAACACCAATTTTGTCCTATTATAATTTTGGTTTAAAAGAGCCTTTCAAAGTTTCTTTCAAAAAAAAACTTTATGTTCAATGTTTCATTTTTTGTATGTGTTTACCTGAACAAAATTAGTGTCTTTTTGTCTTTGCTTTATTCTTAATTCTCATAAATAAGCAAAGAGAGGCAACTGTAGGCACCAATTTTATCTTATTATTATTATTATTATTAATCTAAAAAAAGAGAAAAAAAGTTAAAAAAATTATTTCAACTCTGATAGCTAAAATCAAGCTACTAAAATGGTTTGTTTTTCTCTCTAACACTGCCTGACTTGAAAACATAAAATTCGGTGACCAAAAGTCATCGAATAAGACCTAAATTTTCCACAAAAAGATCCCAAGAGATCTGGGATTTGAATCCTAGAGGTTCTATAAATGGAGCCAATTTTTGTAAACTAAAAGAGAGAAAAAACAAAAGGGTAAGCCTAGAGGAGTACTATCAAAACAAAAAAAAAAATCACAGTCCTTTTTGACAAAAGAACCAGCAATAAACAAAAAAAAAATTCAAAAACAAAACCATCGAGAATGAAATTCTCGATCTAAGAAGTTTAAGATTTAAAAAAAAAAAAAATCTAGGCTTCAAAGAGTGTTTAGAAAACAAAAAGGATCATTTTAGGAATTTTTGAAAACTTTTAGAAAACTTTTTTTAGGTCATCAAATTTTAGAAAATTTTGAATTTTTCGATAACCGAAATCTAGGTTGGGTTTGAATTTTTTGGCACTGATTGAAGTTTTCGACAATCGATGCATACAGCAATTGGCCAAAAACTGGGCTCTATGATGACCGGTAAAAAGAGCTGGGTTTTTTAGAGAAAGAAACGCAAGGGTAAAGAAAGAGGAGAAAGAAAAAAACTGAAACAAGCCTTTTATAGACATTCCAAAACAATGTTATTTTAAACGTCTAACTCGCATCCAACCCGTTTAGGATCCGTGCATCGACCTACGGGTGAACCCGACCAATTTCGCAAGGTTTTTCTTTTTTTTTCTATTTTAATTTTAATTTTATTTATTTTGTGTTGATTTTTATGTTTATTTTTTTATGATATTATTATTATTATTATTATTATTACTAGTAATAATTCTTTTAAAAATAAATAAATAGAATAAAATTAAAATAAGGACTTAAAAATAAAATATGCAAAAAAAAAATTAATAATAACTATTTAAGAAAAATAAAATTTTATTACAAACAAAAGTATTATTTAAATTTCACCAAAATATTGAGATAATTTAAAAAATAATTTTTGCTAAAAAATAATAAATTATAAAAATGATAAATATAATAAAAAAATAAATTGTTTAAATGAATCTTTTAAATGTAATTTTAAAGAAAGCTAAAAGAATTTAATTTTCTTTAATTATTATAAGTAAAAATAATTTTTCAAATTTTATCGTAAAGTTAAGATAATCCAAAATTATTTTTGTTAAAATAAATATTGATTTAAATAATGTAAAACAATAATAAAATAATAATAATAATTGATATCTTGAATAAATTTTAAAAAATATATAAAAAATTAAAAGAATTTGATTTTCTTCAATACAAACGAGACATTAATATTTAAATTTTACCGATGAGTTGAAATAATTTAAATTTTTTTTATAATAAAAAAATAATTAAAGAATAAATAATAAAAATTTTAAAATAATCATAATAAAGATTAACTAATTCCTTTAACTATAAAAAATTATTTTTGTTTAAGATCTTGTCAAAAATTAAAATAATCCTAAAACTTGTTCAAAATTTTTAAATTTCACTAAAAAATCAAGATAATCTTAAAATTTATTTAATAAAATTTAAAAACTCACCAAATAGTCAAAATGTTTCTAAAATCTTTTTTAAAACAAATAAAATATCAAATTTCAAAAATTTTATAAATGATACTTTTTTCGAAATATTTTCTAAATAGTAATTTTTTATAAATTTCACCAAAACATTAAAGAATTTATAAAATACGAAATATTGATAGTAATGTTAAGTTCACAACAAAGAAAATTTTTTAAAATAAATTTTAAGAAATTAAATTTAAATAAAAAATATTGGATTATCAAAATTATAAAATTGCACATGTTTAATTGATAACATTCTTCAAACAAACAACATAAGAATGCTAATAACTTCCTCACTCATAATCATACTTTAAAATCTAATCTTGATTTTATAAACTTAAATTTTTTTAGTAAATCTTAATTAATTTTAAAATTTTTATTAAAAAATAATATTTTAAGTGACCAATCACACCTTACAAAAAAATTGATAATAACTCCAAAAATTTTCAATCAAATCTAACAATTGAATCTCCAAAACAAAAAATCGTTATGACAAAAGTTATAAAATTATCTATATCCATAGTAGGATTTCTATAATGAATACGAAGCAAAGTTCATATAAAACAGTATATAATGGCTAACATGAACAATATTTACTTGCAAAGGTTGACTAAAAATAAATAACGCAATGTTCTTCTGTTTTGGCAAAAAAGCTAACATAATTCCACCAAAACTGTGGAGATACTCTACAAGAGGAAAGTTGACAGGTTAATTTGCAAGTGCTATGAGACTAATAAATTAATCACAGTAATTTTGTCAATTGACAACGAGAAATTATGGCATTTCATTCTTCGTTTGTTCAGGTATCTACGTGCTAGAGGGCATGGAAGCCTTAAACTTTTGATACTCACAAGGCTGAAAACTCAACTTCTTGAGAGCAAGGCCGATATGCAACAAATGTGCTATCTTCTGCAAAGGAACCCGGATTAAAGCAAGTAATTCCGGTGTATTTGAATGCCTTCTGCTCACTTCTATCTCCTAAAATGATCTGCAAGGAATGGTGGAGTAAACAATATCAGATCTTTGCTCTCAATATGAATTGTAAAAGCAGCGATGGATGAATCTGATCTTCAGATTGAATCCATTATAAACTAGTTCAGCTTTTAAAATATTGATTACCATATGCATCCTATGAATTATTGCCCTGTCCAATCAGGCAAGCTAATAAATACTGACCCAGGGTAGTTTCTAGATACAACGAGAAACACAACAAAAAACTTCCTCAACAACTAAAAGGTTATTCAGTTACATTCAGTTTCTGCCCATTTTCATCCTTTTTCCAATATAACATTCCGTAATGCCTGAAAGCAACCAAAAGAAACAAAAGAAGTGGAGGGACAAGAGAATTACCGTATGCGGAGTTGGATATAGATGGAGACAATGGTCATAATTCCAAATAATAGGTTGTACAAAGAGAGGGAGTGGGCAGAGGTGACTTTGATGGGTTATAGTTGCAACAAGCTACAAAAGAAACCCAACCAATTAACCTCATCACAACATAAGAACAAGTGATGATTAGAATAGTCACAAATAATTATAAGGTTTGGGGGGAAAGGTTACATGTTCGAAAGGATCATCTGTTTCTTCGGTAGAAGGGGGAATCAAACAGGAACGACGCATCCTATACAGCAGATCTTGACGAAAGAAGACAATTTCCTGGGTGTAGAACTTTATTCTGCATCAAACCATAAGCAGCATTTGCAAGTTATGACATCAAAGACACATTAATTCCATATTTTAAGGGGCAAAAGTGAGCTCTTAAAAGATCACCCCCTCATCTTCTGTTATTAACTGACTTTTGAAATCACAGAACATGATTTTAAATACCAAGTCCGGATTCAGAGGAAGCTCTCCACAAAACGTTAAGCCTATCTTATCATGCATTAATGGTCTGAGATTACAAAGATTAACCTGCAGGGATTACTAGAAAATATGGCATTTGGAACATGCTTCTGAAACTCTTCAGTTAGATATTTTGGTAAAGCACACCGAGGTAGAGCAGTTGATGGACCTGAAATTATCAAAAGCAAACATATTCTAAAGAGATACAACTCTCTTAGGGTGCAAGCAAATATTATGAGGCAATACTTTAACACACCTGCATCATCGGGACCAGGAATGAAAAGAAATTGACTCTGCTCTTTAAGTCGTGGATGGGCTTCAATCATTCGGCCTAATTTGCCAAAATGCAATCTGCAGATCAAATAGCAAGTTATTTCTCCAGCCAATTTTTTTCCAAAAAATGACAACCATACAAAATAACAAGAATAACTTAATTCAATTATCCCTCACCTAAGACTTGAGAAAGAATGAAAGGAGAGGTTACAGGGGTGAGAACAAAAGTTTCCCATGAAAACAAATAAGGAAGGAACGATTTCCACACTCTCAAATCCATTAAGGACAGTCTCCAGCTTTTCCATAACCTTCTCTATGAACAAGACATTATTATATATTATGTCAACTCATTGAGCAAACAGATCACATATAAAGAACTAGAGCCCGTGAATTACCTGTTCATTGTCCAGCCAAATGTCAGACAGTATGACAAACATGTCATTCACTGCTCGCTTTTCTAGATCTGCAAGTCTGAGCTATTAAGGGGGTATAGGAAACTATTATCAGTTTGTAGCAATGTCAAAGCACTACAAGAAACTTCAAAGAATGGTAAGGCATTTTTTCCAAGAAATGAACATCAAAAAGGGAATAAACATATAGGATACTGTCTCCTCTTTTGTTAGTGTACCACCACCAAAGAAGTCATGCCCAGCAAATACTTTGAGTGATTTATCTCTGTCCTCTAAGGGAGGAAAACCACATGTAATTACCTTCATCACAAAGTAAAGTTAGCACAACCAGAAAAAAAAAATTTCAATAGACATTTTCAAACTACATAAATGTGGAAACCATGTAAATTTCACAAGCCTTTACTAAACTTAATACATAATTTCCTAGGGAGGCATGATGTTCAATGTCTTTCAATATCTGCACTGAGCTTCAAAAAATAGGGTTCCATTGCCAACATTCCATGTCTCAAATAAAACTATAGATGGATACTGGCATAGCAAGCCACAACAGATCCTTTTAGGCACAAAAAAAAGGAATAGTCAAACTGAAAATAGACACTATCCCCACCAACTATGTAAGCCTTAAAAACGTATTAGTGACAAAGTTGCAGTTTCATACTCAAAAAGTACAATTAAAAATTTGACTTCCACTTGTTCTGCTCAGGTACTAAGAAAATTTAGTTCGAAAAATTAAGCTCTGATTCATGAATTTGTTCTTTCAATATCAGATTTTTTTTTTTTTTGAAATTATCTCAGAAGTTGAGTCTAAGGGTTTATGGAATTTTTACTTCCACTATTATCTCCTCCTTAATGATTTTAGTGAAATTGGTTCTACTTTTTCCAGGAAACAATAGTAGAAATCTATGAATAAGAAAGTCTCTCAATAAATAAACCTTATGAAACTCTTGCAGCTGTTATGGCCTCTTTGAGAATTTGGAAGGAATTCCTAATCATATGCATGGAGCCTTTGGGGCCTTAGGTGCAGCACCGAGATCTTTATCTTCTTATTCTTTATTTTTTCAGCACTATTTCATATTAAAACCAGCCCCTAGTCATTCCCTTTAAGCCCTAGAACAACCATATATCAAAACAAAGCAGATTAGCTTAACCCTTTCTCTTTCTCCCTCTAAACCAAGCTTCCTTCCTAAACAAATCAACCGCTAACTACTCCAATCCAATAATAATGTAAAACAAGAAGCTCTTGCCACCGGACAACCAGATGTTTCTTAATTTGATGCAAACCCTACTTCCCCTCCTACATCAATTTGGTGTCAATGCTTCAGGTTTCTCCATGCCATTTCCATCTTGTGACAGATTCCATGTGCCTCGCTTGGACAATGGGATAGATTTTATAATTGTGAACAAGGAAAATATATACGTAAGCTACCTTGAAATTCAAGGAGCTGCCAAGGTCATGTTATGTTACTGGAGATAAAATACAATAAAAACTATTGCTTAGCTTACGTGTGGGCTGAATCTCAAAAGGAAGTCAGATTTAGAATTTCAAAATCACCAATATGGTGTTCATGAGACTATTAGGAGAGAAAAAGTTGTAAGGCCTTCGATATACAATTAATTCAATCAAGGGATCATTGATTTCAAAGCACATGATTTTAAGAAACCTAAAATGTCAACCTAGTCAGTAGTTTTAATTTCATAGTATGGAATATCACCAAGATCCAGATTTTGGTTCCATATTTTGAAGGAAAAGTAGATCTATGTTGTTTTCTAATTGGATTAATTCTATTTAAGAGTATTTAAAAGTACATGATATGGATTATGCATGAGGATCAGATTTGCAAAGATAGAACTAGTTAGATTGGCAGAAAGATTGTGGTATGGAGTTGAAAGAGATAAGTAGGTTAGGTTGGCCAATTCATACGAGGGAGGCAATGACCTATACTACTAGAGATATATGGCACAAAACTTCTTGACAAGAACCATGGTAATAATTTGCAAGAACAGCATGTTGCAAGGGGAAACTTGAACAGAAATTGAACAAAGATATGGATTCTTGAACAACAACTGCAAACAATGTATTAAAATCCAATGTTGAAACTCTTCAACAAAATCAAGGAGAAAAAAGTAGTTTTGGGCCCAATAGGTTCATTAGAAAGCTAAACTTGATGAGTTGCTTCAAAAGATATCATAAAAGTTGTAAACTATTGCAGGTCAAAAGGAAATGTAGATATGACCATTGAAATAGGGATTTTAGAGCTCAAGTTTATATATAGGTTCAATCCAGTAGATCCAACATCTTTTGCAACAATGTTTTCAATAAACACCAAAAGAAACAAGCTACAATCACTCACTATTACAGCAGCAGCAACAATCAGGTGTTGATTTACTTGATCTGAGTGTAATAGAAAAGGATAAACCAGAAAAGCTATCCAATTGTTTGGCTATCCAAGGATTCTGGTACTTCTAGGTCAGCTGGAAATCTGAAAATTTCAAGTTCAAAGTTTCATTCACTGTTTCTTTCTATTATTATGCTTCCCAAATTCCCTTTATGGTTTACAACTCATTTGATTCAACTTTGGCAGTTTCCTATTTTGGCTGCTTTATAGAATTGCAGTAGCAATGAAATAGTCCAAATGAATATTATTACATGGTGCACATCATGCGTCCCAAAAATATATTGCTCCGTGTACATAAACTTTGTCAAAAAAGAAGACTTAAAGCATAAACAAGTTTTAGAAGAAAATTTTCCCAGGAGGCCTAACTAAGGAAAGTGTGAATATAGCAAGTGTAGGGAGAATTAAAAAATAACACCAACCTGAAATATTCCCTCAGAAAGCATTTCACCTTCTGCTACAATTATGGTGTTCTCAGCGAAAAATCCTGTAGTTATTTTGTATTGACTGTCAAAGAAAGCAATAATTTTCTGTATTTCACTTTGCTTCGACTAAACAATGATATTCTCCACGTTTAGTTGTTATGAAGCGGAAGAAAATTTAAAGAAATAGAGTCAATCTATGAGCAGATGTATAGGCAATTAAGTAAAAGGATATTGCTTTGGAGAAGTCAATTTCAACAGCAGCAGTAAGGTCTTCCAAGTAAAAATGACCATCCTCCAACTGTGAGATGACACCCATCACCCATCTCCTCCCTCTTTGCCCAACCAGAGACTGTATTGGCGATAGCTGTCCAACAACATAGTTTTGTTTAATAAAATTTCAGTTTTTAGAGCATATAAAACTTGAAATTGAACAACATTTCATTTCATGCATATACGGAAAGAGAAGGGAAGCACACCTGACAGCTTTGAGAGGTTTCATCATCGGTATCAAATGCGGGTTTAATAAAATGTTGATCACGGGAAACCCTCTGGAACAGCAACAGAAATCTATCTCTATAAAGAGCTGCTTTTGCAGAAGCCTCTCCATGGATGGGTAGACTACCAGCATGTCTATAAATATCAAACAAACATTAGAATTCAAATCGTATAATAATAGTTTGCAGAAGAAAAGAAATATGAATAAGGCATTTTACATACTGAAAGAAATGCTTCTTGATGGGATCGTATCGAAATTTGGGGACCAGAAAGGCATCAACCACGCGAATAGAAGAACGAGAAGAAGTAGGGTATTCCTCCTCAGCTGCTTCTGCTTCCAATAGAAGACTGATTACTCCGTGCACGGCCTCCTTGTCGATGATGGAAGATTTCACTGCTTCCAATTAAAAAAAATCCAATTACCCAGATAAATACCCAAAAACAAAAAAAAAAAGAGAAATCGTAAAAATTACAGGATTGATGATCGAGCTGGTCGAGGAGAAGATCCATGGCCTCATCTTCGGCATCTTGGAATCGATTAACAAAGGAAAGAATCTCCTCAAGACCATCCATCTTTAGGCTGTATCCTCTTATCTTCAATTTCTTCTGAATCAACTTTCGAGTTTGCCCACTCATTTTTCCTTTTTCCTTTCTTTCTTTCTTGTTTTACACACTTTTTTCTCTCACTGTCTGGAAAATGGCAAATAGCAAAAGGATGGGATGGTTTTCCACTTTTGCCGCTGCTTTTGGCGGGAAAATCTTTACCTTCCTTCTGAAAATGGCGGGAAACAATACTCTAAAATAATAATAATAATAATAATCCATTACTTAAATTTTGATCATGTACTAATAAACAGCGTATGACCAAAATCAAGTGTCCATTATTTTTTATTTTTTATGCTTTTTTAATTTTTAGTTCTTTTTGTTTTTTTCCTTTTTTAAAATTTTTTTTAATATTTAATAAATATTTTTTATAAAATTTATCTGTTAAAGCGGGACCCATTTTACATCAAACTTTATTTATATTTTTTTCTTTTTTTTACTTTTTTTAAATTTAAAATTTATTTTTTATGACATTCATTTAATATTAAGGAAATGCCACACGTTTGCTTTATTATTTTTTCTTTTTTATACTTAAAAAATATTTTTTTTAAGATTTTAGATTCTTTTTTGTCTTACTAGCATCAAGGGTATTTGATGTATCAAGTTTTTTCTTCCTTTTAATCTTTTTTTTCTTTTTTATCATTTTTTATTTTTTTTTAAATATTTAAATATTTTATAATATTTTATCTTAAGTTGAGTTGAGTAGATAATTGGTCATTTTGCTTTCAAATAATATACTTTGAAATGGACTAAATTTTTTAAAAAGAAATGAGTTCATATCAAAAACATATTTAAAATGTTTTCTTTTGAGTTATTTCAATATATATATTAAAATTTATATTTTATTATTTATTTAATTTTATACAAATATATGCATTATATTAATAAAATTATTTTATTTAAATTAATAAATTTATATTTTAAACTCAATATGGAATGTCAAGGTAACATCCTCAATAAGCTTTTTTTCTCAATTTTATTTTTTTATTTTTTTCTCTTTCATTTTTTCGTTTTTTTAATTTTTAGTATTTATTTTTTATTGGATAAATTTATATAAAAAAAAGAGAGACCAATTAAGATATCCATATATCATTCTCGTTTGTTTTCTAATCTTTCATTTTTTTAACTTTTCTTTAATTAGATTAATTTTATAAAAAACAAAATATGGTGATTAAAGATAGCAAAATAAAAAAATTTTACCCACAACAATACGTGGGTATTTTTTCTAGTTACTATTATTATTGGCAAAATCCTTATTTTACTTTCAACATCAAAAGCTTCTGCCAAAAAAAAAGTATAATTGCTAATAAAATTCTTAAAATTAAATGATTAAGGTTTAAGTGCACACTTGTATTGCAATATAGTGCCAATAACAGTTGCAATGAAAATATGTGCCAATTATAGCTTTTGCATCCAAATGAATGCACAATGAGATGGGGAAATGGCCAGTCATCAATTGGTTAGTTATTTTTGGTCCGGTTAATGATTGGTCGGTGAGTTTGAAATAGAGGCTTTGAGGATGATCATAAGAGTCCCCACAATAGAGACTTCTTTTAATCTGACATTAGAAACAGAGGCTGTGGTGCTTGTAGAGATCAATTTCCCAAGCCTTCAAGTTGACTTCAGATTTAAAGAAAAGAATAGGAAAACCCTAAGAGCCAATCTTGATTTGACAGAAAAACAAAGAGATATAGCTCTAACCAAAATAACAGCCTACTAATGGAAAGTATCTAACTACTACAATAAAAAAGTTTGATGAAAGAACATAAAGAAAGGTAACCTAGTACTTAGAAAATAGAAGCCTTAGAAGTAGATAACCAAGGTGAGAAGTTAGCCTTAAACTGGGAGGGGCTCTACATTGTCAAAGAGGTCATCCATGACGTGACCTATAGGTTATAAGATATGAATGGTAATCCCATTTTCGAGGACATGAAATGCGAAAAATCTTAAAATTTACTACTAGTAAAAAGATGTAAAGCCAATGAGCTCACACTTTGTAACTTTGAAAAGTTTAATTGAATAAAGTCTGCACTTTGACTATATTTATCATGAAAGATCATAGCTCAGACAATGGCTAAGCTCATACTTGAAAAATAAAAGGTGAAGTATAAGGCAACATGCCACACTAATAGTCAAGTTAATGAAATGTTTGATCTAAGTCCTTATAATTAATTTTGAGAAATAGGTTGACAGTCAAAGTAAAGTGAGCTAAGACTTGAGTTAATTCAGATCCTTAAGTTAATTTAATGAATTTTTAAGTTAATTGGTTAAATTCGATCAAGCTCGCCTTATCCAAGCTAAGACTTGTTAGTTCTTTGAGATTGATTTATCAAATTAATTTAGTTTATCTGAACTTATTCTTTTATTTAAGCTAAGACTTGGTGATTGTTTAATCCAAATGTTGGATGAAGTCAAAGCATAAAAAGAAGACAAAAAAAAATACAAAGCTAACACTTTAACAAAAGTATACTTCATTTTATGACAAAAGTTTGTTGAATGATTCACAATAGACAGAAGTTTGTTGAGTGCACTAAATTTGAATTGAGATATAATAAAAAAAACCTTGATCTTGGATACAAAAATATCTTTAACAAAAAACAAAAAGAAATCTTTCAATTTCTTCAGTCTCCCTCATTTTCAACAGTAACAGCAACAGACCCCTCATTTTATTTATTTTTCTTTTTTTTAAAATATTTATATATTTTTATAATATTTTATCTTAAGCTGGGTTGAGTAGATAATTGGTCATTTTATTTTCAAATAATATACCTTGAGATGGACTAAATTTTTTTTAAAAAAAATGAGTTTGAGTAGAAAACATATTTAAGATGGTTTGTTTTAAGCTATTTCAAGATATATATAAAAATTTATAATTTATAATTTATTTAATTTTATACAAATATATGTATTATATTAATAAAGTTATTTTTATCTAAATAAATAAATTAGTATCTTAAACTCATTTTATAGAATTTAATGTGACACCCTATGTAAGCATTTTTTTCTCAATTTTAATTTTTTAATTTTTTAATTTTAATTTTTCCTTTTTTAAATTTTTAATTTTTTCTATTTATTTTTTATTGGATAAATTTATATAAAAAAAAAAGGAGACCAATTAAGGTATCCATATATCATTCTCGTTTGTTTTTTAATCTTTCATTTTTAAAATTTTTTTAATTAGATCAATTTTATAAAAAAATGATAAATAGAGATAACAAAATAAAAAAATTTTACCCACAAGAATACATAGGTATTTTTTCTAGTTACTATTATTATTGGCAAAATCCTTATCTTACTTTCAACATCAGAAGCTTCTACAAAAAAAAAAAAGTTATAATTGCCAATAAAATTCTTAAAATTAAATGATTAAAGTTTAAGTGCACACTTGAGTTGCAATGAAAATGTGTGCCAATTACTAACAAGTGGTTGGTTCAATTGATTAGGTTCATCTTCCTCGACGAAGAGGTCTTGGGTTCGAGTCTTGCCGGTGATCATTTGTAAGAGTCATCTCAAATGCATGACCTATAGCCACCTATCTTAAGTTGTCAGGTATGACACATCTTACCCTGACCTGAGGGACTGAGCATCCTATTTATCCCAGGATTTTTTCTTACCAAAAAAAAAAGAAAATGTGTGCCAATTATAGCTTTTGCATCCAAATTGATGCACGATGAGATCGGAAAATGGCCTGTCATCAATTGGTTATTTTTGGTCCAGTTAGTGATTGGCTGGTGACTTTTTTTTTAATCTTTTAAATTTTATTATTATACCAAAACATCCCTATAACTTATTTTTTATTTTTATTTAAAAAATTAAAAAAATTTGTTAATTTAATTTAATAAATAATTTTTATTATTTAATGTATTAACAAATAATTTAAATAAAATTTGTTATTTATTGATAAATTTTATAAGATAAATAAATTTTATACATATTAAATAATTTAAAATTCTTATTATATATAAATTTTAATTCAATGTCTTTAATAGTAGTTTTTTTCTTATCATTACATTTCACCTCATCGATATCGTTACTTTTGCATCCAAACACATTAATTTTAATCCCACCGTTATAGTAACAAATTTACCTCTATAATTATTTTCATTCTCATCGAAAACTAATTTTATTGTCCATCCAAAAGAACTCTAAAAAAATAAGTGCAAATTAATAGAGTTTTTATCGGTTATTGCACATTTAAGATGGTAGCCAATTCATTTAACATTATCATCTATAACTCAAATTTTTCTCTTGCATGGATGAACAGTACATTATCAAAATTTAAGCCATGTCACTCTTTTTTTTTCCCAAAATTTTTATATTTGCTAAATACTTTTTATATATTTAAAAAGTGAGATTATATTTAAAAAGTGAGACCTAATTAGGGGTGTAAATGATACATTAATACTCACAAGCTACTCGGGTTTAATTCGAATAAAACTGAAATTCGACTCGATTATTATCGAGTCAAGCTCAAGCTCGAGTAGCTCGATTTATTGATCAAACCGAATTTGAGCATTCTTATACCCAGCTTGAGTAGCTCGCGAGCCTAATCGAGCTTTTATATTTTAATTTATTTTAATTATTTTAATTAATAAACTATCTCAAACTCAAGCTTGAGTTCAAGCACAAACAATTGATCTTTTATCGAATATAAGAATTAAACTTATTTTTACATATTAATCAAGCTTAATTGAATGAGCTTGAGTTGCTCAATTTCTATATCGAGTCAAGCTCGAGCTAAAAAAATAAAACTTAATCAAGTTCGAGCCGAGTTTTGAGCCTCGAATTTCGAATTAAGTTCGAGCTCAAGCTTAATATTGTATCGGCTCAAACTCGATCGATTACACCTCTAGACCTAATTTATATTAAGCTTTTTTTAGCCTTTTTAAGAATTAAAAATACTATATTTAATCCATGAACTCATTCATCACTTATACAAATTCTATTTGTTTTTACCTTTATTTCACCTTTATTCAAGGTGTCAACATGACCTTACGTATCTTTTTTTTTCTTCCTTTTTCTTTTTGGCCAACTTTTTTTATTTTTAATTTAAATAAATTTGTTTAAAAAACCAATTGAAAAAATGATTTTTATTTTTTAAAATCAATATTAATTGAAATGGGTTGAGTTTTTATGAGAAATGGGATCACAACAAAAGCATCTTTAGGATAATTTTGGCCTAACTTATTTTGAATTATATATAAAATACACCAATCCTTTTACATCTAAACACATTAGTTTTAATCTCATAACTATAATAATCGATCTCATCTCTACAGTT